GAAAAAAAGGGTGTGTCGGGCACTTGAACATGAAAAAATTGTGCTGCGTATTCAAGTGTGTGTTATCAGTTACAATGAACAGAACAGAGTGGTTTTTTCTGTACATGAAAAGAGCGGAGGGGTGTGTGTTGTGTACATGAAAGAGAGAGACGGTCGTTGTGTGTGTACATGAGAAGAGAGAGTGTTGTGTGTACATGAAAGAGAGAGAGGTATGTTGTGTACATGAAAAGAGAGAGGGGTGGTGTGTGTATGTATGTTTATGTGTACATAAAAGAGAGGGGTGTGTATGTACATGAAAGGGAGAGAGGGGGTGTGTGTCTACATGAAAGAGAGAGAGGGGGTGTGTGTCTACATGAAAGAGAGAGAGGGGTGTGTGTCTACATGAAAGAGAGAAGTGTGTGTGTGTGTACAAGAAAGAGAGAGAAGGGTGTGTGTGTGTACATGAAAGAGTAGAGGGGAGTGTGTGTGTACATGAGTGAGGGGGTGTCTCAGATAGACACACACATGGACAGACAGGTCTGATGGAGCTCATCTTGGACAGAGTTCCTCTCCGAGCAGACGCCTCTCCAGGTTCCTGCTTCGACCCCAGACTCAGTCAGACGGAGCCCCCGTCTGTGTCCTGAGCCCCAGAGGAGCTGGTCCTGAAGGGACAACTGTGGAACCAGAACCAAAGCGAGCAGGGCCCGTGCTCACCTTTGACAGTGACCTGGGAGGGCCGCAGGGCCTGCAGGCTGCAGGGAAAGGGCTGTGGGTGGCCCTGCAGGCTCGAAGGTGTGGTGACATCCTTTCCAGGTGAGAGCTTCCCTGCCGCCGTCCGGGCCGGGTGGGGTTTGGTGAAGAGCTGGAGAGATGGGGACAGAACGTTAGGGCCGACGCCAGAGGAGAAGCTGGCCACGTCAAGTAGCAGCTGCGCCTCTGCTCCGTGCGCCTGGCCTGGCCTTGTGCTCAGGGGCATCATCAGCATAAACAGAAGCACCTGCCTGAACCCTGGGATGCTAAGACGAGGGGCTTGCGGTCCGAGCAGCGGTTCCTCTCAAGGCCACAGTGCAGGACTGGCAAGCACAGCGCCACTGGCTGCGGGCTGTCTGCTCCCCAGGCTGCCTGGGACAAGGACAAGCTCACTGGAGGCCCTGCCCTGGAGCTGCCTCTCCACCCAGGGCCAGAAGGGCCCTTTCCCCTCCAGACCACGCCCTCCCCATCTGCTGGAGCAATTACCGTGGGTTCCCTCCCCTGACACTCTGGGCAGCACACCTTCCTGGCATCAGGAGTTCGAGTATTTCAAAGAGCACAGGCAGACCCCACTAGTGGACTTTCTTATTTTTTTTTCTTGGATTTCTATTGTCCAATTGTCCCCAATGCCAACCTTTTGGCATAAGCAGGCAAAGCAGGAAGGGTAAGGGCTCGCTGCCTGCGGAACCCTCACTGGGCCTGGGTGCGGCCGAGGCCAGCGCCAACTGGCCACTGGGCCCTCCGTGTCCAAGTTTGTGCTGGGTGCCAGGATGCCCGGTGCCAGGATGCCAGGGCTGAGGTAGGGGCTGGCCTCAGAGGGGCGCCCGGGCACAGGTGGGGCTCAGTGGGCCACTGGGCCTCGGAGCAGCCTTGGCCCCGGCTCTGCTAAGTCCTCCCTCAGGTGCTGAGCTACCTCGTACAGCTGGGTGGGTGGTGCAGAGACAGAAAACAGAGGTGATTTGACGTGAGCATTGACTATGGAACTCCTCCCTGCCCAGCAGAGCCACCAACGTGGCCCTGGCACGTGTCAGCAGGCGCCCTGCTGGGTGGGACAGTGCACAGTCTTCAGGGGGGACCGCGTGATGAATCCTAATTCCGCTAATTACTTAAAAATATTTGTACAAGCTCTACGAAATGCCATTAAGTAAAATCAGAATCTGAAAGTGTGTGCACTCCATGATCACTAACGTGAACACACTTTTCCTTGTGATCAAGGTCTGTGAGTATATAACACAGAACACAGGTGGGGGCAACTGCTATTTTGAATTATTTCATTGCTTTATCTGTATTATTCTAATTTTTAAATGAAAGAAATAAAATCAGGCTACCCAAGCTTCTCTCCTGAGAGGCCCTCCTTCCCGCAAGCCTTCCCTGAGAACCGCATTTGGGTGCGCCAGCCGTCCCGCTGTCCAAGGCTCCCTCGGGCCTTCCACACGCCCCTCCAGGAGCTGAGCAAACACAAGCCTGTCCCCATGACCAGGCAGGAGAGAGCTCATTCGTTTCGCATTAACTGAGAGGAGCCCGTCCAGCTCTCCTGTGAGGCAGGCGCTCCCAGGATGGTCCTGGAATTGGCGGTCTTGTGCATTCCGTCCTCAGGGCAACCTCTGATTGCCCGGTGGTCCGGGCTGTGGGCCAGGCTTCTGAGCCCAGGTGGTGGTGCTCAGGGGTGAGATTTCTCCACACTGAACTGAAGCGGAAACCCAGAGAGCGAGCATCACGTAAACAACAATTTCACTCTCCCTCATGCCATTCATCGGGTGCCCACCTGATGCACAGCCCACACTGCTCCGGACTGTCCTGAGGGGTGGGGCCAGCGGGGCACAGGCCCACGTGAGACCTTGCAGCCCCACCAGGGCCTGGGGCAGGCTGAGGTGCCTCTCATGGGGGCCATTCGATTTGGGTTCTGGAGCAGCCAGGTGAGGCCAGAGCGCTCCCTCTGTCACCTGCTCATGGTGCCATTGTAGGCAACTTATTTAGCCTCTGAGCCTCCGTGTCCACATCTGTGGAAGAATGACTCCTTACACAGAGCTTATGGAAGAATTCCATGAGGCCACCACACTAATGAGTAACACTGTTGAGTGCTAACCATATCTCAGGGACGCCCGAGCCCTTGATGCCTTCACTCATTGGATCTTCACAACCGCTCTAGGGGCGGATGCACATAAAGAATTAAGTCCTGTGGGTCTATCATAGTTCCTTCAGATGCATCGGAGCTGAATGTAGCCTTCACATTAGCGTTAACACTGTCATCACCTTCATCGTCCATGCCACTGAGGGCCAGCCTTGACTCTGAAGGCACAGGAGGGTGATCGGAGACCACCTGCCTGTTTGGTCCTCTTGTCTTCTCATCGCTCCCATCCCAGGAGAAAACGTACTCTCCCCCCCCCCCCCCAGAGTCCTTTCTCACGCTGTGCACACTTATTTGACAAAGGAAGACAAAGGACATGGCATGCCGTACCTGTTTGGGCACCTGCCCAAAGTTGCTGACAAACCCCAGGATGGTGTTCCTGATCAGGGGGTCCCCAATGCTGCCGAGGTCCACTTTGTCTCCATAGAAGTAGGGGTGGAAGGTGTTCACCGCCTCCACGGCGGCCGACCCCTGCTGCTTGTACCCAAAAATGAGGTCTATCCAGTGGTGGAGGTTGGCACTGACGAAGTCACTTTCCAAAGCCTGGAAGCAAAGCCCAAAGAGCATGAAAAACGCAGGCCTCCCAGAGGCTCATGTGCTCATTGCACAGACCAGGACGGCACAGGTTCGGGGTGCAGGATGCTGGCTCTCACAGGAAATGGGGGATGCCTCTCCCGGGACTTGACGAGTTCTCAGTGGGGCAGAACGTGTGGGGCACCCACGAACCCCCCGAACTCCGCCTCCAGATTGCTGTAAAGAGCTGGCTGTTCCCACCACCTCTCATCTACTCCGGAAAGTAACCCTGAGGACCAGAACCTCGTGTGGAGCTGGCCTGAAGAGGCGATCGCCAAACGGAAGAGGCCTGCTGCGATCTGACCCAGGAGGAAGGGCGCGCTGACTGACGGAGCGCTGGGAGGCTGGGGCCAGGCCCTGCAGGGCGGAGGACACACTCAAGGAGGACAGGAGCCAGCACTGCCGCTCACGCTCCCTAACGCCTCTGTCCCCCAGTTTCCTCGTCTGTAAAACGGTGATGGTGATCGTGCCTTCTCAGTGGGTCCTTGCAGACCAGTGTGTGCCCCTGCCTGGTGCACAGTGATCTCCACGTGGTATCAGCTGCCATGATCACCCACCAGGTACCGGGCACGGCTTGGGGTTTAAGTGTGTTGTCTGCCCATGAGCACCCCCTTTCACTGGCAGGAATGATCACCCCACTTCTGGGCAGGTTCATATGTGGTTTTTGAAACTACTGTCCCAGCCCCCAACCCTGAGACCTCAGAACTCCACAGGGGTATCCTGCCTCGCTGAGCAGATCCCACTTCACTCAAGTACTAGGATTACTGACTTTGGTCTGGGTCTTCCCAAGTCATTCCTGGAAGGAAAGGCCAGAATCTGCCTCTGCGGTGCAGCGCAGCCCCCAGGAGCGTGAGCTCTCCTGATGGGGGTGCCCTGTGCAGCCCAGGGCAAGCGGCAGCAGGAGCAGCTCACCCTTGAACCTACAGGGCGAGTGTGAGGCCTTGAGGCACATTCTGTCCATTTGCAGGCTCTCTCTCTGTCCCCAGGCAGGAGGACAGATGTTCCAGACTCGGCCATGGAGCCTGTCTCTATGCTTACAGCCTTCACCTGGGACGGATACTTAACCGCTCTCAGCACATCTGCCTGCCACCCTGGTGACACCTGACAGGAAGCAGACAGGATTAGCATAGGGACTGTCTGCACTGCGGGGGGTGGGGGGTAGGGGGGTGGGGAGGATAATTGTAGGAAGTAGTTAAGTACCAGCAAGGTGAGGATGTGGCTTTCACCAACTGGGATGTTTGAGTGAGTGATTTTGAAGACAGAGCAGTTACATTTGGGTTACGTGTGCCTATGGGAGAGGGTGGCTTTAGGTCAAATGGAGGTAAAAGTCATGGAGAGTGAAGCTTAAGGAACTGAGAGGCGAGAGGCTAAAGTCATTGAGAGAGATGGCAGATCTTGGGCTCTGCTCAGCACACACAGTACCACCTCTCGGGTGAACTGGGACATGCAAGCACTGCCCCATGGCTTCTCTTGCTCCTGTGTGGCAGCTGTTGAGAAATACTGCCCACCTGGGTGCCCTACTCTGAGCCAGCACCATCCACGGGGCTGCACCCATGAAGGGTTGAGCAGGCCTGGGCGCCCTTGCTAAATCCTTTCTGCTTCCTGTCAGGTGCCACCTGTGGTGCAGGCAGGCGTTCTGGCTCCCAGTGGGAGCTGCTCCTGAGGGGTGAAGTGCAGGTCCCATCTAGAGGCAGTCAGCTGGGGAAGTGCCACCCTACCTACCAGTCTAGATGTGACTTCTTTTGTAAGTCTTCTAGTCAGTTGGTCTTTAGTTGGCTATTCAGGTTGATTCTTTTAAAATTTAACTAGTGGCCTGGTGCATGAAATTCATTCACATTAAAGGGGGATTAATTAGAGGAAATATTTTAATATTGCTATTTGCAATTTCTCTATAATAGAAGTGTCAGAGATGAAAGAAAATTAGTAAAATGTATATGAAAATCTCCCTCCTGTCAGAGTCTGGGGTGCATCATGGGACCCAGAGTCAAGTCCCCGCCCACCCACGTGCGTCTCGAAAAGACCCAGCTGGCCCCACCTCCATTGGGCTAGATCCAGACCCGGCCGGTTCCACCCTTGTTAAGCCCCGCATAGCAGGGTCACAGCCTCAGGTCCCCTGGCCCGGCACCAGGTGGGGGGCACAGCCTGAGGTCCCCCAGCCCAGGCCGGGGCAGGGGGCACACCTTGAGGTCCCCCATCAAGCCCAGCCAGGTGGGGGATGTGGCCTGAGATTCCCCCATCAAGCCGCACCAGGCGGGGGGTGTAGCTTGAGGTCCCCTGGCCCAGCACCGGGGGGGGGCATGGCCTGAGGTCCTCCATCCTGGGCCAGTGGGTGCACCTTGAGGTCCCCTATCAAGCCCCACCAGATGGGGGGCGTGGCCTAAGGTCCCCTGTCAAGCCCCGCCAGGCTGGGGGCATGGTCTGAGGTTCCCCGGCCTGGTGCTGGTGTGGGGGGCATGGTTTGAGGTCCCCCATCAAGCCCTACTGGGTGGGGATCGCACCTTGAGGTTCCCTGTCAAGCCCTGCTTGATGGAAGGCGTGGCTTCAATCCCCTGGCCCTTTACCTAGGCCGGT